CCAGAAGAACAAGGGGATGGAGGAATCTATGGGTGATTTGAAGTTTGGGAGTGAGTCCTACACACCAGGAGGCAGCAGTATGGAGGCTAGTGTTGTCTCCAGAGGCGAGCTGAAGGGGAACACCAGGCTACCTAAGATAGATTTCCCTCACTTTGGTGGGAAAGGACCCAGGGCTTGCATCAGATCCCAGATGAACTGAGAGTTGGAGTGGCAGAAATGTACCTGAAAGGGAATGCTGATATCTGGTCTGATGGGTTCATTGCCAGTCACCTAGGGACTAGTTGGAGCTTGTTTTCAGAAGCATTGTGCAAGAGATTTGTAGAGACCACTGGAGAGGAGATAGTAGAAACCTTCAGTAAAATCAAACGGCTGAGCTCCATAGAAGAAACGGCTGAGCTCCATAGAAGAATACCAGGAGAAATTTGAGGAGCTTATATCCCAGGTAATAGTAGCCTTACCACATGTCCCTAAGTCATACTATATTACTGTGTTTACTAGTGGATTGAGAGGGGAGATTAAATCCATGGTTAAAATGATGAAACCTAGCACATTAGCTAAAGCATTTGATGTAGCTAGCCTACAAGAATCTACCATCCAAGCCCTAAACAAATACCAAAAACCCAAGAGTTTCACACCTAACAGATGGAATCCTTACCCACCAAAGCCTACTAAAGGTACCAAACCCATGGAACCATGGCCAAAAACGACTAAGCCATCAAACCATTTTAAAACCATCACTCCCACTGACTTCCAAACCAAGAGAAACCTGGGGTTCTGTTACAAATGTGATAAGAAATATACGGTTGGGCATGTGTGTAAAAATAGGGCACTAAACTTCATATTGGTGGATGAAGAAGAGGATGAAACTAAAGAGGAGAGGGGACCTAAATCAGATGATGAAGAGGTGATTGAAATATCTATCAGCACCCTTGCTGGAAACCCACGACATAGAACCATCAGAATTCCAGGAACCATCAAAGGAAGGAACATATCTATTCTAGTAGATAGTGGGAGTACTCATAGCTTCATAGATGATAGGCTGGCCAAGGAATTGAACTATCCCATAGAGGGGACTAAGACCATGACAGTGAAGGTGGCTAATGGAGAAAAGCTAAAGAGTAAAGCTTTGGTTCAGCCACTGGTTTGGAAGGTGCAAAACTGGGAGTTCTAGTATAGAATGAGAACTTTGAAATTAGGAGGTGGTGACATGGTGTTAACTGGATGAGCCAGTTTAGGCCTGTCACATTCAATTTCAAGCAAGGTTATATTAGGTTTCAACGTGAACAAGAAGAGGTAACACTAAGGTGTGACAATTCAGAACCTCAAGTAATGATGATGGAAGAAGAGGAAGTGAACAATTTATTCAGAAAAGGGCAATACGGTGTTATGAGCACTTCTATGCTATTACTGAGACAAAAGGAAAAGAGGTTCCTAACCAAATAACTGAAGTGGATGATGAATTTCCTATGGTGTTTGAGGAACCAAAAGGCCTACCCCCTCCTCGAACCCATGATCACTTTATTCCCTTGAAGGAAGGTGCCCAACCCTTCAAGATTCGACCATATAGATGCCCCTTTATCCAGAAATCAGAGATTGAAAAGCTAGTAAAAGAGATGCTAGACAGTGGCATAATCAGGCACAACAATAACCCCTTTGCCTCCCTAGTATTTTTGGTCAAGAAAAAGAATGGATCATGGCGATTTTGTGTGGATTACAGGCAGCTTAATAACCTCACTATCAAAGACAAATTTCCCATGCCTCTAATTGATGAGCTTTTGGATGAGTTGAACGGTTCGAAGTTTTATTCTAAAATTGATCTCAGGGCAGTGTATCACCAATCCGGGTTACTGAGGCTGACATATATAAAACAACCTTTAAAACTCACCAAGGGCTATATGAATTTAGAGTGATGCCTTTGGGCCTCACCAATGCCCCTGCCACTTTTCAGAGCCTCATGAATGAAGTTTTTAAAGATCGGTTGAAGGATTATGTGTTGATGTTTTTCGATCATATTCTGGTTTACAGCAAGGATCTAGTTTCACATTGACACCATCTCAGATCAGTCCTCAAAATTCTCCAGAAACATCAGTTGCATGCCAAGAGATCCAAGTGCAGTTTTGGCCAAGAACAGGTGGAATATCTGGGACATATCATCAACCAACAAGGAGTGGCAGCGGACCCCATCAAAGTTAATGCAATAAAGCAGTAGCCTAAGCCAGTGAACATCAAACAGCTAAGGGGATTCCTGGGCCTCACTGGTTAGTACAGGAAATTCGTCGGAAGCTATGGAATCATAGCCAAACCCCTCACAGACCTACTCAAAAAGGATAGCTTCCATTGGTCTGAAGTAGCAGAATCAGCTTTTGAAATGTTGAAAGAATGTGTTCTACCCCAGTGTTAGCCCTTCCTGATTTCAGCCAACCTTTTATCATCGAGACAGATGCTTGTCAAGGGAGCATAGAAGCAGTTCTGATGCAGGGAAGGAGACCTTTAGCCTACTTAATTGGCATTAGGAATATGGGGCTATCCATTTACGAGAAGGAACTGCTGGCACTAGTTACTGCAGCTTGTAAGTAGAGGCAGTACCTGGAGGGCAACCACTTTATAATTAAGACAGATTATTAATCACTCAAGTACTTACTTGAGCAAAGGATCACAACTCCTCTCCAACAGAAGTAGCTTACCAAACTTTTGGGCCTCAGCTATGAGATCATCTATAAAAGAGGAGTGGATAATATTGTTGCAAATGCCCTCTCCAGGAGACATGAGGAGATCCTGAGTTTTCCCACATCACAGTAGTCCAACCTGCGTGGATTAAGGAAGTTCTAGGGAGCTATAAGGATGATAAGGAGGCAGAGGAAAAGATTCAATCACTATTGGTCAGCCCAAATTTGGACCCTGAATTCACTTATGAAAATGGATTATTGAAACACAAAGGGAAGTTATATGTTGGAACTGGAGGCGACATTCGGTCCAAACTGATTCAGAACCTGCATGGTTCAGCTGAAGGAGGCCATTCAGGCGTTCATAATAGCCTCTATCGAGCAAAACAACTATTTTATTAGCTAAAGATGACACAGGAAATCAGACAAGTGGTACTCCAATGTGAAGTTTGTTAAAGATGCAAAGGGGAACATGTTCCCTACCCAGGGCTATTACAGCCCCTTCCCCAACCTTTGCACTCATGGAGTCACATCAGCATGGACTTCATTGAGGGATTACCCAACTCTGGGGGAAAACACGATTCTGGTGGTGGTGGATCGTTTTACAAAATATGGCCATTTCCTGGCCTTGACACACCCTTTTACAGCCTCCTCAGTGGCACAACTCTTCCTCGATAACATCTACAAGTTACATGGCCTGCTTCTTAGTATAATCTCTGATAGAGACAAGGTCTTCACCAGCAAGTTCTGTCGAGAACTCTTCCATCTCCTAGGGACTAAGTTGCATTACAGTACAGTATATCACCCTCAAACAGATGGGCAAACTGAAAGAGTTAACCAATGCATGGAAATGTATTTAAGGTGCTCATTTTACCAGCATCCTAAATAGTGGGGAAGATGGCTAGCTCTGGCTGAATGGTGGTACAACACCACCTATCACACTGCTATAAGGATGACCTCGTTTGAAGCATTATATGGGATGAAGCCTCCTCAATTGGCACTAGGGCCCTATCAGCAATCTAATGTAGCTGTAGTTGACAGTTTGTTACAGGAGAGGTACAAGCTAGATCAACTTCTAAAGGAGAATCTGATACAGGCGAGGGCAAGGATGAAACTTTATGCTGATAGGAAGCGAACAGAGAGATCATTTGAAGAAGGTGATTGGGTTTTCCTCAAACTACACCCCTACATTCAGCAATCAGTGGAACGAAGAGCTCATCACAAACTGAATGCTAGATACTTTGGCCCTTATCAGATTGTTAAACGAATTGGGGAGGTAGCCTACCAGTTGGCCTGCCATAAGGGACAAAAATCCACCCATTTTTTCATGTTTCTTTACTGAAAAAGCAACTTGGAAGTAACATCTTACCAGTTCTACAATTACTAGAAGGGAACCAGACGTTACACTCCCTTCATCAGCCTCTTTCTATCCTTCAATCTCGCAGGGTACAGCGCAAGAACCATCAGGCCGTCTAGTGGCTTATTCATCGGTCAGAAGCTTCACCAGAAAATGCGACTTGCGAGGACTCCGAATCAATTAAATTTCAATTTCCTAAATGTCGATCTTGAGGACAAGATCAAGATGAGGGGAAGGATTGTTATGGATGGAGCAATTGGGGTGGAAAAGGAAGAAGAAGCTCAACAACAAGAAGAAATCAGAAGGAAGAAGAAGAAGGGAAGAAACCGAATTAACAGAAATTCGAATTCAGAAACGGCGTCATTTGGTTCATTGCGAAACGGCGTTGTTTTGGCTCAATTTTAATTGTAATAAAGAAGCACGTTTTTTCCTCATTTTCACCAGTCTTTGTTTCACACTTTCTCTGTGGAACCTAGATATACACAAACCATGTATTCACTGCGAATTATTCACATGATTTGTTATGAAATTCAGTTAGTTATTGGATTGATTTCTCAATTCAATTTTATCTCTCATATCTCTTCTCAATTTTACATCATTTTTCCTCCCCAATTTCTATTTCTTTTAATTGAGTCGCTCGATTGTTCAGCTGATTTCAGCTGAATCTAGTTGCAGAAGCTTTCCAGTGAAGAAGGAGCTGAGTTTGGAGCTCGAGTCGTGACATAGGATTATCTTCTCTCAGCAACATTCTGTACCCAACTTCACCAGATACAACAATGGAAGTATATACAATTCGAATGAACTACAAAACTAATCGAGAAAGGCGCACTTACAAGAAGAGATTGAAGAATAAAAAAACTAATCGGAAAAGTCGAAATTACAAGACATGATTTTTAACAATCAATTAAAGAGTTTACGGAAAATAGAGATAAGAATTGATCAAGAATCAACAAATTAATAATTAAAAGCGATAAAATTACCGCTTGGAGAGCCTGTGAAGGCTTGCCTTGATCGATGAGTTGGCGAGCCATTGACAGAAAATTTCTCACGTCGCCTTTGAAGTCGGCGCTTAACCCGAGCGGATGCGGCTGGGGCGGCGGAGCGATGGCGTCCGCCTCTATAATATCGGCGTCCGTACCATTCATGGCATTTCAGTTTGTGTATTTCAATTTCATCGCCAAGTTTTGCTTTTTCGCCACGTACATATCGCTCAGAAATAATTTTTTCCTGCCTTTGAGAGTGAGAGAGAGAGAGAGTGGTGGTGGGGGGGCGGGGGGGGTAATTGTGACTTCAATTAGTTTTGCTAGTGGTACGTCATCATATACATAGGGGTGTACACCCCCTCACATGGAGGTGAGATCCATCTGAATAAAAAAAATTTATACAAGTGGGTCTCACCCCCATGTGAGGGGGGTGTATACCCTCATGTACATTTTTTGGTATATAAGTAGAATTATTCTTTTGACTTAGCCCCGTTTGGTCAAGTTACGATAGCAAATTTAAATTTAAATTGAACTCAATAATTAATTTCAATTCCTCTCAATTTTTCATTCACATTCCATCAACTTTTAATAAAAGCTACTAAAAAAAAAATTTTTTTATCTAAACCAAACAAGGACTTAATTTAACTAGTGATCTCTGGAATCATTGAAAGATTTTTATGATTTTTAAGACACTACAGTTGAATAAACATTTAGATAAAATGAATTAATTTATCATCTTAATTGACATCTTAAATCAATTAATGTCACATCAATACTTCCGTATACCAAAGCAAATTTAAATTTAAATTGAACTCAATAATTAATTTCAATTCCTCTCAATTTTTCATTCACATTCCATCAACTTTTAATAAAAGCTACTAAATTTTTTTTTTTTTTTATCTAAACCAAACAAGGACTTAATTTCACTAGTGATCTCTGGAGTCATTGAAAATTTTTTATGATTTTTAAGGCACTACAGTTGAATAAACATTTAGATAAAATTAATTAATTTATCATCTTAATTGACATCTTAAATCAATTAATGTCACATCAATACTTCTGTATAGCATTACTCTTTTCGGAGTAGTAGTTATATTTGTTGAGAAAACTCGTTACCGTCTCAATGATCTTTCATGTTGGATCACCAAGAATTCATGAACCAAAGCAGAAGCGTACCGAATCAGACATTGTTAACGCATTGAATGAGTCATGTGGTTTTAGTCTTCCAGGTTAATACATCGTTCCTTTATTTTCCTCTGATGATGAGAGTCTGAACATAATGAACAATTAATGTGTGATTCGAGGACCATAATCGTATATATATACTAACGGCCTGTTAACCTAATTCGGCCCATCATGAAATTAGGAACGGGTCTGGTCTCTACATATAAAGGTCCACACTTTAATTAGGTGCTTCAAATCCCATAATACCGAAACCTTATCAGATCACTTTAAACGGGATTAACCAAAATTGATAGCCTTTAATTTAACACACAATAATTCACATATAAGCTCACATGATCGATTAAAAAATCCTTACAATCTCCCACTTGAGCTATATGTGTTACCTTATAATTGTGCATTAAACATAAACTTATGAGTACTCAAAATTTTGCTATCATTATCGAACGCATCTTCAAACAATTCGGTCCATCAATCATATCAACATAGGATCAAAACGGTTTTCGCTACTTATATCGTAACTAAATCTATCAATGGTCACGTATATCGACATAACTGAATGACATGGATCAAGAATGGACGTATAACATGGAAATTACATGTGATGTGATCTTAACGTACCTATTTCCAACTAGCCCACCTTAATACCTTAGTGAGATCATTTTCAAACAGGTTCAAAGATAATAAACTAAAAACTTCATAACCGAAAATAATTTTAACGATAAATCATGTCCAAAATGACAATACATGTGTCTAATATGAAAAGCATAGAAATACAAACTCTCATTGAAACTAGATATCTTCAAGAGATATTACACCCATATGAGTAGTGTGCTCATGAAAGACATTGGGTATCAATCCCTTAGTAAGTGGATCCGTAACCATGGAGTTTGTCTCGATATGCTCTATTGACACATGTCCACTTTGAACTCTTTATTTAACAGTCAGGAACTTGATCTCTATATATTTTGACTTCATTGAGCTTCTGTTATCATTGGAATACAGTACAACTAATTTATTGTCACAAAATAACTAGTCACTCATAATATAAAAATAAAAAGTAAAAGTAATGGAATGCATTACCGAATTTTAATAAAGATGTAGAAACGAATTAAATCTTGCACCAAGATCTTCTTCAGCTTCCAATCAACGCTTTAAACTCGAATTCCACAATGATTCTCTTCTATGACTTGGGCTCTTCAATCTCTCGTTGTATCCCCCTTTATCAATGTGTGGAACCCTTTATTAGTGCCTCCTTAGGTCTATTTATGCTTCCCTACACGTACTTGGCTAGATTGGAGTCTTTTTATGGGTTTCTCGTGACCCAATCAACAAAAACCCTAAAATAGGTAGTGCAGCGCCTAGGCGGCGCGATATGTGTCCAGGCAGTGCCGAGGCTCTATGGTGGCAGCACTTCGCTGAAAATCTTCTGCATCTGCTTCAGTATTTTTGGCATACATTTTTCTCTCGATATTCGATTAAGGCGATTCAAAATACATTGAAAAGATAACTCAAAGAGCTACAACTTTACTGAAATAGATATTTTTTAATTCGAACGTTTACTATTCCGAAATTGGGTCTCAATTTCCAACTAAAAATCTGGACATCCTTTTGCGGTTGAAAATTGATTTGTGAAAAATATTTTGGTTATATTTTCACTCATTTTGACTTTTAATTATATCCAACTGATCCCTAGTATTTTCGAATCTTCATCATGAACTCCGACACAACCTTTGAATATTTGCAGTTTAGCTCTTAAACTTTGGATCTTGCCATTTTCGCCAATTTTTCACTTCTTTTCTCCAATTCTTCATCAAACATAAAGTTTTACCTATAAAGATGCAATATAACATAAATTAGGTAGAATTTTATCAAAATAAAATAAAATATCACCATTTAGGATCTCGAATAAGTGTAGAAACTACACTTGTTACATCCATTAAGGCCCACACATGCTTATATTTAAAAAATGAAGAGAGTAAAATCTCGTGAAATAGACTTAGAACAAGCCATGTTGAGATCAAATAAATTAGTTTGATATGCCTCCAAGGGCATGATGTAATGGTAAAACAAGTGAATTCTTTACTGAGTATTGGAGGTTTGAATCTTCGCGGCAGCTGGATAGCAACATTTATGTTGGGAGGCTGATGTACTGTAAAAACAAAGTCATGGTGTGCTCTATCACCCCTCCAAGAGTCTCGTGTACACGTCGTAAAGGGGGTCCGTGGGGAGCAGAACCGCTTTTTGAAGGTCTAGTCTAAGTACGTATGAGCTGTGACTGCATCTAATTTATTCGGATAGCAAACCAGAAGGTCATCACTCCTTGAAATTAGTCGGGCGAAATTTGAATACTCGAGTCATAAAAAAAAAGGAATTTTTTTTTTTTTTGATGCACCTAAAAACAAAGGGTCATATGTGGCTCACCACAAAACTTGACAATACCAATCCACTACGATACAGTTTAGGCCCCTATCCCACCCCACCTCCCCACTATAGGGGGACCAAGCGCATACGAGGTCTTTGCATGTATAATATGAATTTTCCTCCATTGCATGGTGATGTTACTTCCTTTTCTATCTCTCCTTTCCTCATCTTTCTCTTGTGTTGTCATATTCAATGTCTCATTTAGTGTCAAACCAAAGTAGTTCCTTTGGTTAATTTTTTTCATTTTTTCTTTTATTTTTCATGCTATATATAACACAAAACTCATATTATTGGGGTATCCTTGTCAACCTTTTAGAACATTCTATCAACCCCCTTGTGGTTGCATAATTTTGTTTTCTGCAAAACAATCTTAAATCTTAATCAAACGAGAGACATTACGATTGTGCAACATGTACATAATGATTTATATACATGCAATGTGGTAAGATATGACTGAGTTAAAAAAATTCAACTAAATTAAAAAAAAAAAAAAAAAACTTATCTACTCTCTTTTTGACACCTCGTATGTATATAAACCATTATCTAACTTAATTATGTACGAGTAGAATTATTCGAGGCATTAATTGGTAACTTTGTTTGATTCACGGACCAAATCGCACTTGAGCAAGTCGAAATCAAGATAAACCAGAAAGTGGATAAATATTTCTTTAATACCGTAAATTAACCAAAAATGCCACAAGATCAATGAATAAACGAACTAACAAATGTGATAATAAGTTCCCGTTCGAGTCGTCCAAGAATCGATAAATATCTAATTTTGAATAACAAATATAGTTGCGTACATGTGCATTAAAGAGACAAAAATTAGGTGAAAACATTGGCCTCATTAGCAGATCCTTTTGTTTGGGACTGTCCTGTCTGTTTCAAGTTTTAACAAATAATTGGTTTAGACCTAATCATTTCTTTGCAATAAAAACAAACAAATTTACAAATGTCTTTTCGTATAGAATATGAATAGACTACATGGGACGGCACAAAGTGTTAAGAATTGATGATAAGTTAACAAAAAAAGGTGGAATGTATGGTGGACAGTTTGGAGATCCTTTTCTCTCTTTGGATGGACTAGTTTTTGACATTTTCTGGCTTACATCACTATCAATCACAGCAAAAAAATATCAAAGTAATTAACTCAGTTTGGCCATAATGAGATTACCATAGTAAAGTAATAACTTTTTAACAATTAATCGAGCGCTTGTCAATCCTAAAAAAAGTCGTCTCACGGCATTCAACTATCTCCCATCATAATTTGAGTGGATAAACGAGTGTGGGAAGTTTTATAACCAATAAAGAAGTACCTCATTCATTCCTTTCTATCTTAAGATACTAAGAGGCATGATCCAATATATAAACTAAATTTTTTCCTAGGTATGATTTGTTCATCACTCGTACAAAATATCCTAAGCTGCCAAATTTCCCACAACTACAGAATGACCCAAATTCCTATTTGGATTAGGATTGGGTTGTTTGATTGATAAAAGAGGCATGAAAAATTTTGGTTTGGAAATCCGGTTTGAAAATGGATCAAAATTCATCAA